AACATGTCAAGACTATAATGTTTTTTTCTTGGTACATTTATTCAAGGTTTTATATTCTTCTTCATTATTTCAGTAACTATTACTGAATTGATTTACAGTAGTTTGAATTTAACTGAAGATACCACAAAGATATCACTAAGGTAGATAATAATATGCAGAATTTTATTAATTTATCCTAAACTGAGTAGCATATGGATTCCCTACTCCTGCGTTTTTTAAAACATTATAGTGTCATAAAAACTTACAGGCACTTGAATCATAATCTGCCAATTGTCATAGCTTTTTTCCATGTAATTTCAAGTTCTTCTGTTATAATAAATGTTCCTCGCATGACTTAAGTTTAAGTGATTATTTAAGTTAGACTTGTTCATTGTACTTTTCTGTCCATTTCCATGTTGGAAACTTTTTTACTGTCACAATGAATAGAAATGAATGTCAAAGAATGTTTAAGACATACATTTATAAAAGTTCCTTTATTCAGATTTTTTATTATGAACCCATTAAAATTGATTTTGCTCTACAAATTGACCACATTGTTGTATTTTTAACTATAAGATACGGCTGATAATTCAGTTTGGCTTTACAGTAAGCCATAGGAAATATTTTAAAAATCAAAGATTGTTAAGTATAACAACACAAAATGCAGATTAAATAAGGAATGGAAATGAGGATAAAGAAGTGATGAGAATTTATTTCAAATTTGTTTTTCCAATTCTGTGGATGTCTTATCAATCAGTATTTATGCTTCATGCTGTTTTAAAATGTAAGTCTAGGTTCCTCTTTTAAAACAAAAAAAAGATAAGAAACCTTCAGTTACCAAAAATAAAAACCATTTCTTTCAATATTTTCACATAAAACATGCAAAAAGTATAGTTCATTATTCCAAAGGTGGACTTTTAAAATTTTCAGGGGCTTGGACATTAATTTAAAATTCACTGAATTGCAGGTGTGCTGAATTAAAGACACCCAGGAATTTACAGGTTCAGATGCTTCCTCACTTTCCACTAGGACATTTTTATTCACATAATCTCATATTGAGATCCAGACACCTGCCATGTACCTGCTGTATCTAACTCTAACTATATAGTTAAGTTGCTTTCTGGGGGACATGAAAAAATTTAAATGGAGGGATTAAAAAGGGCTTAATAGCATTAAGTTGTAGTGGGATTAGCTCAGATTTTTTCAAGAGTTGCTTAATTTTTGCACAATCAAGCATTTGCTATGAGATCTAGTATAAATTTGCAAATTATTCTCCAACCTTGTTCTCTTCCTCAAAGTAACTTTAAAACTTGAGCATTGATCATATTCATCTCCTTATGTTGTATCACGTAGCTTGATGCCTGTTTTATAAACTATTCCCTCCCTTATGTTCTTACCTGATTTGCCTTAGTATTTTATTTCGAAGGTGAACAAGTTCCTGATTTGTTCTCTCTCTCTCTCCCACTGTCCTTCTCCCTCTCCCTCTCCCTTTCTCATTTCCTTAGAGCAATGCTTCATGAATAGTGAACATACACTGAGAATTAATGACTTGAGTATGGTTAAATACTACTTCCTTAAGTGGAGCTAGACTAGTCCTTTTGGGATGAGTTTCATTGGATTTTGGCTCCTGTGGATGCATCTCAGCTTTGGAGTTATGCAGTCAACAAATAGTATTTAGAATCAAAAGTGTTACTTTCATGTAATCAATGCCATTAATCTGGTAAACAGCAATAGTTTAAAATTTCATAATAATCCGCAATACCACCCTTAATTTCTTGAAAAAGTACATGTCTGATAAACCTTACCGATCAGTGGAAAATAGAAATGACTGGGATTGTAAAGAACTAAATATCACCACTATTAACATATAGAATGTAGGACCACTTTGAGGGAATTGTTTTCTATTATATATAGAAAAATAGAAAAAATTGAAGCTCTTGAAAATCATTTATCTAGCCTCTACGACAAAAGATATATATAATAGAATTATGAAAAAATTTTTCAAAGTAAATATCTGTTCCTACAGAAAAAAGGAGGGGGTGGAGAATGAACTGTAGCCCCTAATAGAAGTCTGTAAATCCACAGCATTCAAAATCAGGCAGTATCATGGCTAATCACATGGTAGCATAAGAACCAGGAAAACACAGCCACTTGCTAAGGAGTGTAAAAGTCATTTTCGCTCTTGGAAACGGAAATTGCTGCCCAATCCCATTAGGTTTCCATCTCATGTTCTTAGACTTACTCCTGCCTTTCTTTGTTGAGGTCTTATCCCTTAGTGTCGACGTTGAACTCGCCTCCCAGAACAAGTAAGCCTCTTCCTTGTAGTCTGCCATGGAGTCGTCAGCTTAAGGGTGTATCTGCTCCATTTCTGATAAATGCCAGTTTTATCAGGCCCATTTCTTTTGTGTGCCTCTGAGTTAGATAGCAGGGTTAGGACATATAAAATCTTGTATTCTCCATGTCCCTTTTATTTTGGAAATCTTTTGAGAGCTTAACATTTCCCTGTTTCTTGTTGTTCAGACCGAACCATTCCCTTCTGAATCCGTTTACTAGTGGCCTCTTGCCTCCTACAGCAAATCCAGGCTTCCTCTTGTCATCTTCAAGGAACCCATCTCTATCTGGCCTTTCTGTCCTTGTACACACAGCCCTAGCTGTCGCTTTTATCTCTGGTCAATTTTAACCATGTAAACAGAGTAGATTCATTACAACATTTAGGCAGGAAGTCAACTGATATACTGGGACTAAAAAGAATGGAGTCCAAAATTTTCTATTCTAAAGGGCTAATAAATATTTACCAAGACTTTATTAATTTATTACAATATTAAAAACTCTCAACTTACCAGATATGCTTGCATGCAACCATTAATGCAAATATAATATATATACACACACCACTCATTATTATGTATGTGTGTATATATGTGAGCCTGTAATGTGTGCATACACGCACACACATATATATTGGTTGACTGTGTGTGTGTGTGTGTGTATATATATATACATATATATATTTACTTTGGTTGACTGTGTGTGTGTGTATATATATATATATATACACACACACCACTCATTAATATTATATGTGTGTATAGATATGTATGTATATAGTGTGTGTATACACACACACATATATATATACACACATATATTGGTTATGTGTGTGTGTGTGTTTGTGTGTGTGTATATACACACACACACAGTCAACCAATTGGCTTTAGCTTCTAGAGAATATTATATTTAAAGTTATGTATGAATTTAAAAGGACTGCTAAGGTAATATGTTCTAAATCCCTTTCTTTTCTTTCCATTCCTTAATAAATGATTTAACCTCTTTTACAGACTCTTCAAGCACTTTTCTCTTAAAAACTCATTCTGTTTTTGAGTAGGTAAGAAAAAAATGTTTTCCCTTAACTTGAATTAAAACCTGGCCCCCAGTAATCTTCAATTTTTGGATCTTCTTTCCTCTTCAATTATATAAATCATGGCAAAATACATTTTCATATACTGTCTTTCAAATATTTTAAGATACATATTGTATCTTGCTAGAGTACTCTACATTAAGTAATCTCAGTTACTTTAAAGTAAACATTATTTATTATATAATATATAATAAGCCTTTATATAAAAATATTAAATATTATATAATAAAATGTATATTATATAGTATTTTACTATATATTATTTTGTATTATTATATAGTATAATAGGTAATACTATATTATTATTATTATATTATATAATACATTTTCATGTTCCTGTTTTGTGTCCTCTACTCCTGCTTATCAAAATTCATCTCAAAATGTCGTTCTCACAACTGAGTGGGATGATTGCTCTGGCCACATGAAGCTAAAGTAATACTCCAATGTGACTTTTACATGGGTTAATCCTAGGTGTGTTTTCTTTATTCTATCCTTATAAACTTGGATTTTTCAGCCCTAAGAACATGATAACTTTACATTAACTGCTATAACATTTTAACCTTACAAGCTTATGATTCTACTTTTTACCTGTAGAGATTTTTTTCAGATATTGGTAATAGGTGAACATTTTCTATATTCCTTTTAACTTCATGCCATTCACAAATGTGATTTAAATGCTTTTCTGAGTGCTCATCAAAGTGCTTAATAAAAGAGTCTAGCAAAATTGAAAATTTTATTATTTTGCAAACCTAGAAATTCAATCAAGATAAAAGCTTCAATTAATCGGAAGAACTATGAAATATCAAAACTCTTGCTTTTAACTTTGATGATAATGAAACTTTGCTATAATATATATTTAGATCTTTTGAAACAGTACTCTTGTGCATTCAAGCAATTATTTAATTTTTTGTATCTTTTTTTATATTTACCATGATTGTAAAAGATGACAATGTTTTAAACATTATCTGACTTCTCTATCCAAATAAGTTATGTCCAAAAGTTTCCAAAGGATTCTGTTGAAATGGGTAATAATTCTAAATCTTCTTCTAAATAGCCTTTATGGTACAGAGAATACCAGTCCAATAAGCCAGAGTGACAACAAAAGTAGCCTCTTAAAAGGAATTAGTTCAATTATTGGTTCAATATTAAGATTTTTCCAAACAAAAACATCAGAAATTACAGTAGAAATGTGTGCTGTTTCAAGTGTTTCCTTCTCACCACTAATTGCTCTTTCAGAAAATATCTATCGATACCTCATTGAATTGTATCACATTTTCCCCTCAATACAAATATCAAAACCTCAGGTGAGAAGATGTAGCTCCAGGTAAACAAACAGACATTCCATTAAATATTCACCTGTGCCTCTGGTTAAGTCATTTCATCTCTGTCAAGATGCTTAACAATAAAGTAAACTAATAGTATGTTATCTCTTTCAAGGGATTTTTTTTGAGTTAATGAGCATGCAGTGAGCAATTTAAGGATCAAACATACTGGGCAAAAGACTAAATTTTTATTATAGTGGATACTCGCAGCCTTATGTAATCTGCCAGTCTAAACCATGTGCTGCTTTGGCACATGCTTTACTGAAAATAGCAGACCAGTTTGTGAGCTGGCACAATTTCAACATAGCAGATGGACATGCAACGAAATAACTAGCAAAGAGACCTTGTTTCAACATCAAATATGTTTCCGTAGGGCCAGATTCTTGGGCAAATTTGTTTTAGTGATCTGGTTGCAACTAAGGTAAGATGGTATATTTCCTTTGCATTTAGTCTTCACTGTTTCTATATGTTTTGGGGAGTTATTTCAGATACTGAAGTATTCATTTTTGAAATCACAATAGCTTGGACTCTTTTAGTTTGAAATTTTGAAACACCAGCAAAAAATGAGGGTTAAAGAATTGTTGGATTGTTGCTTTATGAGAAACTACAATTATCCAGCTGGTCACTCAAGAAAATGGTAGATTTATTGAACACTCTATCATGATACTCTTCAGTCAATGTTCTTTAATCTTGTGTCTAAAAAGAATGATGTTAACTGAGCTCTTTAATATATTAGACTATTCCAGATATTATTGACTAGCTCCTTTGAATGGTAAGACATTCACATGGCAAGTTAACAGTAAAAACTCTAAAAAGTAATGGAAACATTAAATACTTTTCAGCTATTGTCAAATATTATAACAATTAAGACAAGAGAAATGTATGCTAATAAATTTATGCTAATAAATGTATGCTTCAGGGATAAATGAATACCTTAATATTAATCGTATAGTACATACATTAAAGAAATAAATTATTTAAATGATTTGAATATATTTTGTTCTGTAATGTTTAAATATATGATTTGTTATTGGTATAACTGTCATTTCAATTCCTGGATACATCACAACTCATCAGCACTGAGAAGCTTTTCGAGAATTAAATTAAGAACAACAACTAAAGTAATACATGCATATGATAAAAAAGCAATCTGATGATAAAAAGTACAAGTTTTCTTCCTACTGGAAAGCCACTAGTGCCTGTGAATATGTAACCACTTAGTAGTTTTATGTATATTCTTTCAAAACATCTGATATGTATGTTATGTATATTCTTTCAAAACATCTGATATGTATGTTTTAAAATTTATATTCTTATTTAATAGTTTTATATATTTTGAATAATATGTCTTAAATGTCTGCATATGATACATTTATATCTTTGCTTTTAATAACTTTATATTAATGATTATATAAAAGAACCATAATTTATCTAAGCCGTCCCTCATTAGTGGCCATTTTAGTATCTGTTAAGGGTCACATGACTAGTCTTTTTCTGAAACGTCCTGGATACTGTCATGTATTTTTCCCCTAGATGAATCCCAGTGTTATTTTTTCAAGGGTCCCCCCACCAAGTAAAAAGTAAAAAGGCTCATGGAGTTTTCGTTAGTATTGAATAGAATTTACAAATTTGATTTACAGAGAATTATAAAAATACAGTTTTTTATCAAAGAATATAATTTCTTATTTTACTATTAATACAAGATTCTTGGTATCTCCCAGTTGTATGTTTGTCATGCAATATATCATAGATTTGCAAGTTTGTTTTTTATAAATTCAATATATTTTTAGTTAGGTATACTCTTGATTATTATTATCATTGCCGCTAACACAATTAACAATAGAACTTTTTCTTTCTCTATATCTTAACCTGCCACTGTTTATATACAGAAAGATGCTGTTTATGTTAATTGGGTAGCCATCCACTTTACTACATTCTTTTATTTTTTGTATATTGTGGCATATTCTCTCGAGTTTTCTTGCATATAAAGTCGTAATATCTGCAAAAAATGTTAAATTTTTATTCTCCTTTCAATTTTGTATACCATGCATTTTCTTCTTTTCTCTAATTGCACTGGCTAGAATTTCCAGAATATTGTTCAATAATACTGGCAAAGTAAGGATCTGTTTCATTTCTATCACTTTAATGAAATATGTTTAAATTGTTAGGCTTTATGTTGGCATCAGTTTGTGATAGCTCAATCCATGTTATATTATTCTATGAAGATACAGATGTTAATTTTCTTCTATGAAGATATCTATATTCATATATTTATTTATTTTTGTTTTTATTTATTTATTTACTTTTGTTCATTTGTTTTTATTTATTTTTGTTCATTTATTTTAAGAGGTAGATTTTACAGTTTCTTTTTGATTATATATTTCTCCTCACCTTTTCCATGAATTTTACACTCCATTGACTTTAAGCTGGGCCATGTGACTTGATTGGACCAATGATACATGGGTACAAACATTTTTAATGGGTTTATGTTGTTTTACTAACCCTGATCCTTTGACCATAGGAGCTGCAAGCTCCAGATAGGTTAATTCTTCAGCCTGGGTGCAGTTAGAAAACCCAGTCAGCTTAATCCAGCTCAGCATTGCCTAGTAGAACTCACAGAGTCCAGCCACACAGCAACTCACACACCTCACAGAATGTGAGTGAGGAACAGAGTAACTAAATATTTGCTCTTATCAGTAACTAATTTCAATCTTGATAAGTATCTTTGCTTGTATTTTAGTTACTATATAATTTTAATATGTTTTCTGAAAAGATATAATCTTTACGTTTCTAAAATGAAATTCATCTGCACACAGATTGTATGTTTTGCATAAGCTTAAATAATTTGCTTTAAAATTAAAAAAAAAATGGAATTATTTTTTAGACCTGGTCAACAGAAAGTACTTTTTTGCAATTTGATATCATTTTAATAAGTAATATTTGTGTATTGCTCTTCTGGTTTGCTGGTTTGACTTTTGTGTCTTAATCCAGTTTTTCTATCAGTGCTATGATAAAGTCAAAAAAAACATTAAAAAGTTTTGTTCTTAAAGTTATGTCTTGGATACATTTAAATAGCATTTGAATTTGTTTATTCACTTATAAGCCAGATCTGGTTTATTTCTCATAGGGAGTGGTTTGATAATGTTTGCTTATTATCTTAGTATATTGGTCTATTAGAAATTTGAGTATATTTTGCTAAAGACTCATTTATTTCACCTAAGTTTTCAAGTTTATTTCTAAGTGTTTTACAAATTACTATTTTATAATTTTTTTCATTTGTTCTTATTTTTCATTATTTCTTCATCCTCATTTTATATATTCTTTATTTGCTTAGACTACTTAAATTGATCCCTGCTTTTATTCTTACGTATGTATTGTCTAATGTCTGCAGTGGCCGAAAAAATTTAAAATAGAAATTATATTATTTATCCTTCTGCTTAATCATGGCTAGATGATTTTCATTGAAACTGCCATTACCATACTATCTTACAACATACTTGTGACTCCTGTACATAGTACACAGTTGTCTATAGTCCCAATTGGTCTAGAAATTTAGAGAATGTTTTAGTTGTTTGTTTTTGTCTTTTGATATGTAGGTGATTCTTTTTGTTAATACTTATATCTGGTAATTTTTTAAAATTACAGATTAGCATTAGTTATGAATTAGGTGGTTGCAAGTAAAATACCACCCAGTTGTTTTGCTTAAAGAACTTCAGTGAAAATTTAAGCATTATAGAGAAAAATTGCAAACAAGCCAAGAACGATTTTCAGGTATTAGTGTTCATAGAAATGTATTACTTTGTCAAAGATTAGATGGTATGTGGTCCTATTTCTGGGATCTTTATTCTGTTCCATTGATCTATGTGTCTGTTCTTGAACTAGTACAATGGTGTTTTGTTTACTGTAGCCTGGTAGTAGAGTTTGAAGTTGGTAGTGTAATACCTCCAGCTTTGTGCTTTTTGCTTAGGATTTTCTTGGTTATTCGGCTTTATTTTAAAATAGTTTAAATTTTAAAATAGTTTTTCTAATTCTGTGAAGAATGTCAATGGCAGTTAAATGGGAATAGCATTAAATCTATAAATTGCTTTGGGCAGTATGGCCATTTTCACAATATTGTTTATTCCTATCCATGAGCATGGAATGTTTTTCCACTTATTTGTGTCCCCTCTGATTTCTTGAGGAGTGATTTGTAGTTCTCCTTGAAAAGGTCCGTCACTTCCCTTGTTAGTGGCATTCTGAGATATTTTATTCTGAAAGGATTCCCTACTTAATCAATGGAGCTGAAAGAACTGGCTAACCATATGCAGAAAATTGAAACTTGACCTTGTTTTTTACACCACACACAAAAATTAACTCAAGATGCACTGAAGACTTAAATGTAAATCCCAAAACTATAAGGATTCTTGAAGAAAACCTAGGCAATACCATTAAGGACATTATCCCGGGCAAAGATTTCATGACAAAGATGCCAGAAGCAATTGCAACAAAAGTAAAACTCGACAAATGGGATCTAATTAAACTAAAGAGCTTCTACACAGCAAAAGAAGCTATCATCAAAGCATACAGACAACCTACAGAGTGGGAGAAAATATTTTCAGACTGTACATCTGAAGTCTAAAATCTACAAGGAACTTAAACAAATTTATAAGTAAAAAATAAGCAACTTTCTTTAAAAGTGGGTAAAGGACATGAAGAGACACTTCTCAAAAGAAGACACACATGCAGCCAACAAACATGAGAAAAATCTCATCATCACTGATCATTAGAGAAATGCAAATAAAAAACACAATAAGATGGAAATCTCACACCAATCAGAATGGTTATTATTAAAAAGTCAAAAAACGGCACATGCTGGTGCTGTCATAGAGAAAAATAAATGCTTTTATACTGTTGGTAGGTATGTAAATTAGTTCAACCATTGTGGAAGACAGTGTAGCAATTTCTCAAAGACCTAGAGGCAGAAATACAATTTGACCCAACAATCCCATTACTAGGTATATATCCAAAGGAACATAAATCAGTCTATTATAAAGAGGCATACATACATATGTTCATTTTAGCACTATTCATAATAGCAAAGGCATGAAATCAACCTAAATATCCTTCAATGCTAGACTGGATAAAGAAAATGAGGTACATATACATCATGGAATACTACTCAGTCATAAAAATAAATGATATCATGTCCATTGCAGGGGTATGGATGATCTGGAAGCCATTATTGTCCTCAGCAAACTGATGAAGAAACAGAAAACCACTATCATATATTCTCTCTTATAAGTGGGAGCTGAATGATGGGAACATCTGGACACACGGGTAGGGGGAAAATACATATTGAGGCCTGTCAAAGGGCCAGGGGTAGAGAAAGGGAAAGCATCAGAAAGAATAGGTAATGGATTTTAGGCTTAAAACCGAGGTAATGGGATGATATGTGCAACAAGCCACCATGGGATATATTTATCTATGTAATAAACTGGCACATCCTGCACATGTACCCCTGAACTTAATATACAAGTTGAAAATAAAAAGGAAAAAAAGAAATATACAATTTTCTAGAAATAGTTTTGACTGAATAATAGAAAAAACTGATTGATAAAGATTTAGAATATGTAAATAAAATATATCTAATATTCTTTTAAATTCACAGTTCAGAAATGAAGACATGAGTTAAAATTAAAGAAAGAAGCTTGTTCCCTGATCCTATAGTTGCAGGAGCAGGGATAAGGTTAGGGCATAGAATGGACCACACAGGTGAACCGTTACCACTTGAACCTCCACAAGAAAGCAATGAGCTTCAAAAAGCTATAAGTAAAAGGATGAACAAGAAACATAATCATCCACCAATATGACATACAGAAAAGAATATGGTCTTTTCCTACCTGTTCTATTGTTGAGATATAATATCTCGTAGAAACCTTGGCTCATACTTCAATAAGTTTCAGGTTCAAATTTACTTTATCCACAGAATCTGAGAATCCTACAATTGATAACTAAAGATAACATTTTACTCATACTAATGACAAATTTGCTGTGCAAGACAAAAGTAAATACAAAAGCACTGTAGAACAGTGCTACTTCAAGTGTGATCTTTGGAGTGGAGCTGGTTCAGGAACTGTTTTCTCCTTATCACTTACAAGACAAGTACAGACATTGAAGGTATCAGAAATGGTTATGGAAATTTGATAGAGTAATAATATAAATCTGACACAATATATTTTAAAAACCTAGTACTTTTCTAAGTTTATTTCCTACTTTATTAGTACATTTCATTTTACGTAGAAAAGTATAAATGCATAATGGATTTTAAAGAAAAAAAATGGCCCTTTACTAATGATTGTTAGAGAAGCGGGCATGTCTCCTGCAAAATGGCAGATAATTCATCAGATAAATTCTAGGAATCTATACAAATAAAAATAGAAGGATAAAATCTCAGAAAATATAATTAATGAGCTTAAAATGATCAGGCTTATGAAAAGCAGATTTGAAAACACTAAAATAGAAAATGATTCTACAAGATAAAGCCTATGTTGATTGAACAAGAACTAAATGACACTTCAAAAATAAATAATAAAAAGACCCAGCAGATCACATTAGTTGAACAGAGAGAAAATAAAAATTACAATTAAAAATTATTTTGAATATGGCCTAAAGAGTAAAAGATAAATATAAAACATGAAGAAGTTAACTAAAAGGCTAGCAAGAATGAATAGCCTCACATAACTTGCATTATTCCAAAACACAGAAAGAATAGGGAAAATAATAATATTCAGAGAGATAATGATGAAAAATTTTTTAACATTATTCACCCATGAATTCTCAGAAGTGAACTGCACTTTAAGTCCTAAACAAAATATTTAAAATATTATAAGAAAGTTTGCTAAAAGAGGAAGACAATCTCAATTAGAACCAAAGATAATAAATGAGAGTACATGTAACAGAAGATTTAGATTTATAGATAACTTTTTAAGAGCAGCATAAGAAGCCAAAAATTGTGAGAAAATATTTTAAGGTGCTGAGAAAAAATATTTATCATGTTTCAATTCTATTGATAATTTATTAATAAAGAGAAATATAAAGATCATCTAAATCAGAACAGAGAAAATTAAATTGCCTCTGTTTGCAGACATCATCTCATATATAGAAAATTCTAAAGATTCCACAAAATGTATATCAACTATAGATAAATTTTGTAAATTTTTTTTTTTTTTTTTTGAGACGGAGTTTCACTCTCGTTACCCAGGCTGGAGTGCAATGGCGCAATCTCGGCTCACCGCCACGTCTGCCTCCTGGGTTCAGACAATTCTCCTGCCTCAGCCTCCCGAGTAGCTGGGATTACAGGCGTGCGCCACAACGCCCAGCTAATTTTTTTTTTTGTATTTTTAGTAGAGACGGGGTTTCACCATGTTGACCAGGATGGTCTCAATCTCTTGCCCTAGTGATCCACCCGCCTCGGCCTCCCAAAGAAATTTTGTAAATTTATAGGAGACGAAATCAACATACAAAAATAAGAGATATTTCTGTACACAAAACAAACTATCTGATAAAAGAAATTAAGAAAACAATTCCATATAAAATAGCATCAAAAATCACTTAGAAATAATTTTAACAAAAGAGTGAAAGATTTGTACACTGATGGGAGGAAATACAAGTAAACGAAAAGCTAATTTGTGTTTATGGATCAGAAGAATTAATGTTATTAAAAGGTCCATACTTTGGGTATATATCCAGTAATGGGATTGCTGGGTCAATGGAGTTTCTATTTCTAGGTCCTTCAGGAAGAGCCACAATTTCTTCCACAATGGTTGAACTAATTTACACTCCCACCAACAGTGTAAAAGTGTTCCTATTTCTCCATTTCTCCAACATTTGTTGTCTCCAGATTTTTTGATGATTGCCATCCTAACTGGTATGAGATGGTATCTCATTGTGGTTTTGATTTGCATTTCTCTAATGACCAGTGATGATGAGCATTTTTTCATATTTTTTTTGCCTCATCGATGTCTTCTTTTGAAAAGTGTCTATTTATATCCTTCCACCACTTTTGAAGGTTTTTTTTACTTGTACTTTAGGTTCTGGGGTACATGTGTAGATCATGCAGGATTGTTGCATAGGTACATACATGGCAAGGTGGTTTGCTACCTTCATCTCCCCATTACCTATATCTGGTATTTCTCTCCTCATTATCCCTCCCTGCCCTCCCCACCACGACTGTCCGTCCCCTAGCCACCCCCGCTACTGACTGCAGTGTGTGATACTCCCCTCCCTGTGTCCACCTGTTTTAATTGTTCAGTACCCCCCTATGAGTGATAACATACAGTGTTTGTTTTTCTGTTATTGTGTCAGTTTGCTGAGAATGATGGTTTCCAGATTCATCCATGTCCCTATGAAGGACACAAACTCATCGTTTTTTATGGCTGCATAGTATTCCATGGGGCATATGTGCCACATTTCTTTATCCAGTCTATCGATGATGTACATTTGGGTCAATTCCAGGTCTTTGCTATTGTAAACAGTGCCACAATGAACATACGTGTGCATGTGTCTGTATAATAGAACAATTTATAATTCTTTGGGTACATATCCAGTAATGGAATTGCTTCCTTGAGGAAGTGCCACACTGTCTTCAACAATGGTTGAACTAGTTTACTCTCCCATCAACAATGTAAAAGTGTTCCTATTTCTCCACATCCTCTCCAGCATCTATTGTCTCCAGATTTTTTAATGATTGTCATTCTAACTGGTGTGAGTTGCTATCTCAATGTGGTTCTGATTTGCATTTCTCTAATGACCTGTGATGATGAGAATTTTTTCATATGTTTGTTGGCCTCATATATATCTTCTTTTGAAAAGTGTCTGTTCATAAATTTCACCCACTTTTGAATGGGTTTGTTTATTGTTTTCTTGTAAATCTGTTTTAGTTCTTTGCAGATTCTGGATATTAGCCCTTCCTTAGATGGGTAAATTGCAAAAACTTTTTCCCATTCTGTTGGTTGATGGTTTGCTCTAATGATTGTTTCTTTTGCTGTGCAGAAGCACTTAAGTTTAATTAGATCCCATTTGTCTATTTCGGCTTTTGTTGCTGTTGGTGTTTTAGTCATGAAGTCCTTGCTTGTGCCTATGTCTTGAACGGTGTTTCCTAGGTTTTCTTCTAGGGTTTTTATGGTGTTAGTTCTTACGTTTAAATTGTTAATCCATCTGGAGTTTATTTTTGTATTAGGTGTAAGGAAGGGGACCAGTTTCAGCTTCCTGCATATGGCTAGCCATTTTTCCCAACACTGGCTTATTAAACAGGGAATCCTTTCCCCATTGTTTGTTTTCTTTTTTTTTTTTTTTTTAATTTTTTATTGCATTTTAGGTTTGGGGGTACATGTGCAGAACATGCAAGACAGTTGCATAGGTACACACATGGCAGTGTGTTTTGCTTCCTTTCTCCCCTTCACCCACATTTGGTATTTCTCCCCAGGCTAGCCCTCCCCACCTCCCCCTCCCACTGGCTCTCCCCTTTTCCCACCAATAGAGCCCAGTGTTTAATACTCCTCTCCCTGTGTCCATGTGTTCATCATTCTCAGCAAACTGACACAAGAACAGAAAATGAAACCTTGTTTGTTTTCTTCCAGTTGTCAAAGATCAGATGATTGTAGATGTGTGGCACTGCTTCTGAGGCCTCTTATAAAGACATCTGTACAGGTATGTTCGTTGCAGTCCTGTTTACAATAGCAAAGACCTGAAATCAACCCAAATGCCCATCAGTGATAGACTGGACAAAGAAAATGTGGCACATATACACCATGGAATACCATGCAGCCATAAAAACAACGAGTTTGTGTCCTTTGTAGAGACATGGATGAATCTAGAATTCATCGTTCTCAGCAAACTGACACAAGAAGAGAAAACCCAAACACTGCATATTTTCACTCATAGGCAGGTGATGAACAATGAGAACACTTTGGCACAGAGAAGGGAACAACACTCACTGGGCTAGGTGGGGAGGTGGAGGGGACGGGAGGGACCACAAGGGGAGGGGAGGGGAGGGGAGGGGAGGGACAGTGGGGGGCAGGGTGGATGGGGAGGGATAGCACTGAGAGAAATTCCTGATGTAGGTGAGGGGGGTATGGGGGGTTGCAGGGTTGACATACTTATTTTATTTTAAAAAATATGTCCAGAGGTAGGATTGCTGGATAATATGGCAGCTCTATTTTTTAATCTTTGAATGCATAAGGGAAATGTGATATATACACAATGAAATACTATTCAGCTTTAAAAAATAAAAAATTCTGTCATTTGTGACAATATGAGTTAATTTGGAGGATTCTATGCCAAGTGAAATAAAGCCAAGCACAGAAAGACAAATACTTCACAATTTCATTATATGTGTAATCTGAAAATGTTTAACTCAGAAGTGGAGTAAAATGGTGGTTACTGATTGAGGTGGTGGGTGACAGGGGAGATGGTCAAGGATAATTATACAGGAGGAATAAGTTCAAGAGATATATTGTGAAATGTGATGATTATAGTTAATAACAATGCATTATATAACTGAAAATTGTTGACAGTAGATTTTTGCATGTTCTCATCACAAAAAAGATAAGTATGTGAGATAATAAATATGTTAATAAACTTGTTTACACATTTCATAATATATACCTTTATGGCACATCATGCTTTTACCCTACATATATACAAATTTTTGCAAGTAATAAAATCAAATATTTGTTTTTAAAGAATGAAAATGAGATAGGAACTTACATGCCAGTCCCAAAAGAATGGCAATATGATATAAATCAGAAAGAAAGAAATTACAGGAAGGAAAAATAAATGAAACATATAAAGCAAAGACAAGTGTATTATATTTAATATAATATTATATATATATATAAAAGCAGTGGGTAAAACTAATTTCTGACACTATGAAATAATTGTTGTAACAACAATAAATATTATACTGATCAAAAATAACAAATATAAAATGTAAAAGTTTTTGAATTTTAGAAGTGTGGATTTTTTTGTGAGAATGGCAGAAACCATTACTAACATTAGACTTTATTAAGTATGTAAGTTAAGAGTTTAATGCTTAACTTTCTTGGTACTAGAGTTAAGATGTGGAATAGAGAAAAATTGAAAATTTGAAAATTATTTAAAAAATGGTGGAAAAAGAAAACAAATAAAAGTAAATACCCAAATAATTTGATATAAATAATAAAAATCAGTAAATATAACAAATGCGATTTCACTAAACTTGGTATTTAAAAGGTAGTTTTAATAACAATCCTAGTTAACATAAGTAAAACTGTTGTAGTTCTAATAGTTTAAAAATAAACATACTTAAACATTAATAATAAAATAAATACAACAATTTCCAATTTTTATTTCATTTAACATAGTTCTAAATTTATACAGAGAATTAATTAATATAATTATCAGGAGAAATTGACAAATACACTTTTAAAATTTTAATATACCTATTTTAGTCATTATTAAATCAAGTAGAAAAAATTCAGTAAAAATACAGATTGTTTTTATCAATATGATGAACAAATATTATGTTCTTTCAAACATATTTAATGCCTATAGTCATTATGTAGAGAATTTGATTTTTCTAGCATGCAGTGATAGACTTATGAAACCTGATAACATACTAAGCCACGACATAAATATTTTCACAAAAACAGGTGTGTGGGAATAATTGTTGAATAGAATAGAGTTTCTAAGCTGGAAATAACTATGGTAGAGATAAGTAACAAAAGAGCCTAAATTTTATAACCTACTATAAGTAAACAGTGGATTACTTGAGAAATTGTAATGAAACCTAGGAAACATTTAGAATTGTACAATAATGAAAATGATACATGTCAAATGTGCGAAATGTAGCCAGTTTTAAAAAATAGCTAAAATCCTATATATTTCTATAAAAATATATAAAATCTAGATAGTTTCTAAAAACTGTAACTTACCCACCCTACTCATGATAAAATAGTATCTCTGTATCTGCAAAATTTATGCATCTCCATACATGTTCTGTAAATATATTGTATCTTGCATTTAAGCAACATAAAGCCCAATATTATAAAAAATTTTTTAGAGAAAAAACATCAATGCTCACCAAATCATTTTATAAGGATAGTATAAGTTTTTATAGCAGACAATGCAAGAAGTATATGAAGAAAGCACATTAAAACTGATTTTTACATGTAAACATAGTAAAATAATCTTAAAAAATACCAAATCATAATGTCTAAAGTTTAATATTAAAAAATCTATTTTAATCAACACATTAAAGTAGAAATAAAAATAATTAGATAATTTCAATAAAGAATAAACTATTAAATAACAGTTACATTTTATAACACTAGAAATAAAAAATTGTTTTTCCTCATAAATGTTATCATAAACTTACACAAACATTGTTTGTCAAAGCAAATGTAATAGTTTTCTTTAAATCCATATACAAGGCAATGATGTCTTTTGTCATACTCCTATTCAGTATTACATTAGATATTCAAAACTATAAAATAAGCTTAAAAGTTTATAAATTAAAGAAGAAACAGAAAGGAATGTTTATAAACAAAAAATTGTCTACCTAAAAATCCAGACACATCTATAGAAATATTAGTAGGTATTGTAAGTTATTTCAATTTGAGAGTATATTTTTATACTAGTAAAAGATTATTAGAAACTTTAACTATAATTTAATAAATAGGTCATCTTAGAAAAGTAACAGAACCTATAAGATTCTAACATCAGTGAATATTATAAAATTTGGACACAGAAGGTAAAGTTGTAAGTAAATATAGAGATATACCATGTTTATGAATGGGAAAATTCAATACCATATGGTGAAAATTCTCCTACAGTTAATTGCAATTTCAAATAAAATCACAAAAGGTTATTTTACAAAAGTTCTCAAGCTGATCGTATATTCAAGAATAAGCATAGTGAATCTGAAAAAGAGGCACAAGATTGGGAGACTATCCTACAATTTAGAAGACTAAGTATAATGCTAATAAAATTTTGGTATTTCACCATTGATAAGAGGATGAACAAACCAGTGATTCAGATCCATACATATACAGAAATTTGATATATGGAAATAAAGACATTTTAAATCAGTGGGACAGATGAATTATTCAATAAATTTGACAGAACAATTGTTTGATTCTACCAGCCAAATGGAATAAAGAATATTTTCACCTTAAAATATTCTCCAAAGTAAATTTTAGGTGAACTAGTCATCTAAGACTGAAAATTTTAAAAAGCAAAAATAGAGAAAGAAGACAGAGAGAAATATACAGGTCACAAGAAGAAATATGTGTATCACATGAAACTTTCAAAGGATTAGTATTATGAAGCTCACATAATAGAATAAGAGAAAAAAACAGTCAAGTAAAATAAGTGACAAAGATTTGACTAGGAAGTCACATAAGTTGAAACCCAAATTGTCAGTTAATACAAATTAAGATATTTAATTTCACTATTAATCAAGAACATATAAATTAAACCACAATTATATGTCATTCCATACTAATCAGTTTACAGAAATTTAAAAAGATTACAAAGGAGGACATAAGAATTCTCTCAAACACTTTGTAAGAAAAGAGAAAAAAATATAGTACTTGTAATGATGGTGCCTTTTCCTTGCCACCAAACATCGTCATGGACCATGCTATCTAGAGACCCTAAACCCGTCAGAGGGCTTGGACTTCACTCAGGTTTGTTCTTTGTCAAATGAATAATAATTCTCATTCTAGTTGCTCATAGATACCTTGTTCATACTCTGAAAAATGTTATTAACCTTTCTCATGCTGAAAAGTAACAGACAATAATTACATTGTGGCTTTACATTTATGATTATGTATAATTTCTGAAGCTAATATCTGTTGTTTACATTCAAGATTCAGTTTGTCAGCCAGGCTTTTAAAAATTGGAAGATGCTTATTGGTAGGGTACATGAAACAAAAAGAAAATAAAATGACATCAATTTATCCAAACCATTTTCCCATTTCCAATTTCTCTAAACCATTTTCCCATTCCCCTTTGAATAGCCCTATTTTAAAAAAAGTACCATGTTAAATAAGGTATATTCTTTAAAAAAAAAACCAAAACCTAGAGGTATAATTTGCATACAATAAAATGCAGTAAGTGGTAAATTTTAACAAATATATTCACTTATTTAACCACTGACACAATTAAGATATAGAACATCTTTGTTATCCCAAAAAGTTTCATCAAGCCCCTACATGGTCATCTCCTCCCAGAGATGTTATAACCCCCTTCATTCCAGATACTCTGTAATCTGTTGTTTTCTTTTTCCTCACTAGATATTTGCCTCCTCTACAATTTGATATACATAGAATTATGTAGTATGTACTCTTTGGTGACTGAGTCAATTCGTGTAACACAATGCCTTTGAGATTCATGTGTATTACTTTTTAAGCCAAGTAATATCTTACATGGCAATGTCACAATTTGTATATTCACTCTTCTTTGCACGTACATTTGATTTGCTTCTAGGTTTTGGCTGTTACAAAGAAAAAGCTATAACTATTCCTGTAAAATTCTTTGGGTATACATTAAAATTTTTCTCTTTACATTTACTTTTAAAATAAATAACCAACTCAAAAATATTTAAAGGAAAACAATAAAAAGTCTTTCTGCAGCTTGCCCCAAATAATTACGTTTAGTGGGTTCTTTACTCTTCCAGATGATTGCTATGTACTTAGAAGCCCACAGAGCTCTATGTACTTGTTTTCTTGCCCTTCCTCTTCATCAAAGAAGTATACCATATGCACATTTCTGTAACTTGCTTAATTTTTAAAATTTATTTATCTTTAATCAACATAAAATTATCTTTTTAAATGTACATTATTTGAATTTTAACGCATGTGATTTGAGTAACCGTGACCTCAAAGAAAGAAATTGAATAATTTTCTCCATGAAATTTTCTGTTGCCGTCACTTCAGAACCAAATTCCTTTAAGCATCTCGCCCCTATTACTAATGCATTCTCCATCCCTACAATCTTTTTAGAACGTAAGTGAAGCCATACAGTAAGTAACCTTTTGAGACTTGTTTCTCTCACTATGTCTCTGAGATTCACCCAAGTTGTTGTATATGTCAGTAGTTTACTTCATATTTTTAAAAACTTTCTTTTATGTATGGCTTTATAAAGTTTTTTATGCATTTACAAATATATTAATGAACTCTTCATTTTAAGACAGTAAAATATTTACAGAAAAATATGAATATAGTACACAGTGTTCCCGTAGCACTCACAGTTTCACCTGTTATTAATATCTTGTATTAGTATGGTATATTTGCCACTGTTAAGGAACCAGTATTTAAAGTCCATACATTACCCATGTTTCCTTCATTTTAATCTAACGTTGTTTTTTTATTCCAATGTCACATTCATGATACTAAATTATGTTTACTTGTAATGTCTTCTTAGGTTCCTCTTGGCTGTGCCATTTTCTCAGATTGTCCTTATTTTTGAAGATTTTGACATTTTGGAGGAGTACGGATGAGGCACTTTGTAGAATGTTTCTCGATTAGAATTTGTCTGACGATTTTCTCATGATTTTGTCGAGATTATGAGTTTTGGGGAGGAAGATCACAGAAGCCCACCTTTGTCATTTCTATCACACCACATCCAGGATACATACTATCATGACTTAATACTATCGATGTTAACCTTGATTACCTAGCTAACTCATTCCTTTTTATTACTATCCTGTTTTATGTATGTGACACAGTTTGTTTATCCAATCACTTTCTAAAGACATTTAGGTCATTTACAGTTTGGAAGAATATGTATAGTGCTGCTATAAATATTCATGTACAGATTTTGATGAGAACATAGTTTTCCTTACTTTGGGGTAAATACTTAGTCGTGGGACTATTACAAGTTAAGAGTAGATTTAACTTTACAAGAATTTGCTACACTATTTTTTTTTTTTTTTTTTTTTGAGATGGATTTTCGCTCTTGTTACCCAGGCTGGAGTGCAATGGCCTGATCTCGGCTCACCGCAGCCTCCGCCTCCTGGGTTCAGGCAATTCTCCTGCCTCAGCCTCCTGAGTAGCTGGGATTACAGGCACGCACCACCATGCCCAGCTAATTTTTTGTATTTTTAGTAGAGACGGGGTTTCACCGTGTTGACCAGGATGGTCTCGATCTCTTGACCTGGTCATCAACCCTCCTCTGCCTCCCAAAGTGCTGGGATTACAGGCTTGAGCCACCGCGCCTGGATTTTTCTAAGGGAACAGTTTGACATTTCCACCAGCAATGAATCACCATTTCTGTTACTTATTGTTATTTTTTTTGTATTTTCTTTAGCCATTTTGCCATATGTCTAGTGCTACCGCATCATGGTTTCACTTTGCATTTCTCAAATGGCAAATAATATAAAATTTTCACGTGCTTACTTGTCTTCTATGTATTATTTGAGGGAGTAACTATTTGCCATTTATCACTATTTGTCGTTTATCAGTTTTTGAAAGTTCGTTGTTTATTCCCTTTCTGTTGAGTTTTGATACTTGACTGCCTATTCTGGATATGAGATGTTTGTCATATATGTGTTTTTCTAATATTTTCTCCCATTGTTGCTTGTATTTTCCTCCTCTGAACAGAGTATGTCTTTCACAGAGAAAATTATTTCAATCTTAGCAAAGACAATTTCTTGATTTTTTTTCTTTTATAGACAATTATTTTGCAAGCCCAAGATCTCAAAGGTATTCAGGAACTCTAGCAAGTCCTAGGTCTCAAAGGTATTTTCCTATGGCATTTTTAAAAAGTTTTTCAGCTTTATGATTTACAGTTAAGTTGAAATCCATTTTGAGTTAGTTTTTTTACATAAGGCATGAGATTCAGTTCAAGTTTTTTTTTTTTTTTGTCTGTAGATATCAAATTGTTCCAGCACTATTTGTTGAAAAGACTTTCTTCCATTGAACCCTTTCACACTTTTGTGAAATACCAGTTGTCTGTATTTCTATGGGGTTATTCTCTAGGTTCTCTGTTTTGTTCCACTGATTTATACATCTATCTCTCCACAAATACCACACAGAATGATTACTACAGCTCTGTAATAAGAAATTTGAAATCAGAGTGAGTAATAACCCTTTCATCTTTATCCTTTTTTAAATTTTTACCTATTCTAGTTTCTTTACCTTGCCATGTAAATGTTAAAGTAACCTTTTGTATATCTACAAAATATTTTTCTGGAATTTTGATAGAAATTGTTTTTAATCTTTTTGTGAATTTATATATAGTTGACATTTCTAGTAGTTTTCCAATTCATGAACACTGTATGTCTCTCCAGTTATTTATATCTTCTCTGATTTCTTTTTTTTTTTTTTTTTTTTTTTTGAGACAGAGTTTCGCTCTTGTTCCCTAGGCTGGAGTGCACTGGTGCAATCTCGGCTCACTGCAACCTCCGCCTCCTGGTTTCAGGCTATTCTCCTGCCTCAGCCTCCCGAGTAGCTGGGATTACAGGCATGCGCCACCATGCCCAGCTAATTTTTTTTTTGTATTTTTAGTAGAGACGGGGTTTCACCATATTGACCAGGATGGTCTCGTTCTCTTGACCTGTGATCCACCCGCCTCGGCCTCCCAAAGTGCTGGGATTACAGGCTTGAGCCACAGCACCCGGCCTCTCTGATTTCTTTTATGAGAATTTTGTGGTTTTCAGTATATAGATTCTGTACAAGATTTATGAGAGTTGTAGCTATACATTTCATGATTTTGGAGCTAATGTAAATGTTATTAAAAAATATGTCCAACTAATTATCAGTACTATACAGAAAAACAACTGTGTTTTTGGCTGTTTTTCTTGTATCTTATGGCCTTGTCCAACTCTTTCATTAGTTATACAGTATTTTTATAGATTTCTTGAGATTTTCTGTGCAATCATATCTCCCCATACTAGGTGTGCAGTGATGGTTTCACATACGCAAGTCAATAAATATGATACACCACATAAAAAGAATTAAAAGCACAATCATGTGATCATCTCAATAGATGCAGAAAAAGCATTTGACAAAATCCAGCATCATGATTAAAACCCTCAGCAAAATCGTCATACAAGGAACACACCTTAATGTAATAAAAGCCATCTATAACAAACCTACAGCCAACATAATACTGAGTGGGTAAAAGTTGAAAGCATTTCCTCTGAGAACTGGAACAAGACGAGGATGCCCACTTTCACCACTTTTATTCAGTATAGTACTGGAAATCCTAGCCAGAGCAATCAGACAAGGGAAGGAAATAAAGGGAATCCAAATCAGAAAAGAGGAAGTTAAATTGTCCCTGTTTGCTGATGATATGATCATTGACCTGGGAAACCCTAAAGATACTCCAAAAAGCTCCTAGAATTGATAAATGAATTCAGCAAAGCTTCAGGATACAAAAATTAATGTACACAAATCAGTAGCTCTGCTATACACCAAGAGCAACCAAGCTGAGAATCAAATGAAGAACTCAACCCCTTTTACATTAGCAGTAAATATATATATATATATATATATATATTCTAGTTTTAGCCAAGTAATTTCCAGATTGTACAATTTTGCATTAGAACCAGTAATATACCAGAGTTTCACATCTTTGCCATAATTTGCTATTGTCAAGCTGTTAAATGTTAACCCCTTAACAAGGAGTAGTATCTCATTGTGCTTTCAATAGCTTATGCCTTCAATTTATACCTTATTTATTAATGAATATTGATGCTAAGAGCCTTTTCATTTGTTTTTTGGTCAGTCAAACATCTTTTTTTTTTTTGTGACGTGCTCATTAAAACATTTGACCCATCTTCATTTGCTTATTTTTTATTATTGTTGACTTGTAAGCATTTTTTAACATATTCTAGTTAGTTCTTTGACACGACTTTTGTAGGTAGTTTCTACTAACTGCCTTTCTTTTTTCACAACACTGTCTTTTAAAGAACAGCTGTATTTAATGTCAAGAAAGTGAATTTATCATATTTCCATGATGCCTATTGTTTTAGTGTTCTAAGAAATCTTTGCCTGTCCCTTTGCCTGTGAAAATACTCTCAACCCCTGCACATATTCCACTGAAGACAAAAATTTTTGTACATTTGTATTTTGCTTGGCTTTTAACCCTAATCACTCTCTGGTCAGGATTCATGTTGCTATAATCTGGAATAATATTTCAAATTCCTGTTTAAGTAGTTATTTTGTAGTATCAGTATTTATTTATATCTAACATTATGTTTAATTGATATGTGTATTGTCTACTGCCATACCCCCCTGAATGCTCCAGATCTCATCTGATAGATATATGTGCTTTTTAGTGCTTCTTGAAACACTCATTTTATTCTGAATCCCCTTTTCTTTATTTTACTGAAGTACTTTCTCTATTAATGAGTTTAACATGTGAACTTTCTGAGTTCTTGCATGACTAGAGAAACCTGGTCCATGCATGTTGATAAAGATAGGAAAAACACTCTAGATTTAAAGTAACTTTCTATTTTTTTTATAACTTTGAGGCTAGCCTTATTCATAGTTTGTTGAATATCAACAAGTATGAAAAAATGATCTGTTCCGCTCTTAGTGAAATAATTTAAAATAACAATTTTATTAAGTTTTGTAGAAAGTGTTAGGGACTCTTTTTCTTTTCCCTTTTATTCCTTTAACTCGCTAATTTTGGAAGTAGTTTTAGATATATATTGGAAAGTCTTTATATATTCTCCATGTCTCTTCATTTGTATTTCATATTTTACATCTCTTTACTTTTTTATGTTGTACAGGAAGATTTTCTTAGCTCCTTATCAATATCCATTCTACTATTTAGACATTATCTGAAGTCAAATTTGTTATTTGAATAGGCATATTTTATTTCTAAAATTGTGAATTTTTAAAAATAATTGCTTTTTATTTCATGTATGTGTCATTTCACTATTAAATCATTTTTTCAGATGACTCTATTATTTGTGTTTCGTTGGCTGCTACTTTCACTTACTATCAAGCATTCGATATTTGGTGACATTAGATATTTGGTGATATGTGCTTATTCTCTACAACATGACAATTCTATGCTTCATATGGGCTGCACGAACTCTGCAGAAGATTGTGTGTAGGAGACTTCTGTAGTGGTGGAAGACTGCTTGTCTTCTCTTAGCAGATGAGACAGCTGTGTTTTTTCCACATGAGTTGGCTAGAGAGACTTGCTAATACTGTGTGCATTACAGCTCCAAGAAGGTTCAGCCACTGAGGCTGTCAGGCACCACATTTCCCATCTTCCTAGTGAAGTGGCCAAGAGTGCTCCGAGAAAAGCCTCAAATATTCACCATTCCCTTGGCTTTCTACCTTGGTTTTGTTTTTGCTATTTTCTGTCAAACAGTGCATCAGGGTATCAGTCCACAGATAATGCCCATTCTTAGTTTTCAAAATTTATAAACTTCTTTTTTCTTGTTTGTTTTCTTTTCTACAGTATTGGAGTTGTTGTGCCTTGAAGCTAAAACTGACTTGAATGTCTACCTAGGAAAATGTAATCTATTGCTTTTTTACAGGTAAACATTTATCATGTAAAGATTGCTCTCTCCTTGGCAATACCTTCTAGGTAGAAGTAGAATTGAAAGGCTGGGCACAGTGGCTTATGCCTGTAATCCCAGCATTTTGGGAGGCTGAGGTGGGTGCATCATGTCAGGAGTTCAAAACCAGCTGGGCCAAGATGGTGAAACTCCATTTCTACTAAAACCAGAAAAATTAGCAGGGCGTGGTGGCAGGTGCCTGTAATCCCAGCTACTAGGGAGGCTGAGGCAAAGAATTGCTTGAACTGGGGAGGTGGAGGTTGCAGTGAGCAGACATATTGTGCCACTGCACTCCAGCCTGAGTGACAGAGTGAGACTATGTCTCAAAAAAAAAAGAAAAAGAAAAAAAATAGAATTTAAAACATATTGAAGTATTTTTATGTGTATGTTTCCATGACAGACTATGAACACTCAAGGATTGTATGTTAGAAATGGTTAGTAGGCTACCTAATATCAATTCTCACCTTTTTATTTACTAGCGAAGCTGTACTTTATTTTGAGGAGCCACGTTCTAGGTGAAAATATTTTCTCTGCTTCCTTTGCAGCTAAAATTAGGCATTTGACACAATTTTGGCTACTAAGATATAAACAATGCACTGGGTATGGTTTCTGGGAAGGTTCTTTATTGGTGTATGCTATGTATCACACAGCTGGCATGTGTATCATTCTGCTTTGTTCTATTCCTTCTTCCTTCCTGGAATGTGGACATGTCTACAGATATAGCATCTTTGCTACATTCATATCTGGTACAAGACAGCTTATTATTCCTATAGTTATGAAAGAAAATCACTATCCTGTGTTATAATTGTGTCAATCAAAGTCATATGCCTATACTGGAACCAAGATAAGATGTCTATGTATCATTATAAGATGACTTATATAAACCTACGTTTTTGGAACAATAATTCTCTAGGGAAATAACTTTATCCTAATTGGCTTAGCCTAAGCAACACATGCTCCTGGACCTGAAACCATTATCTGCCAAACTACATGGCAGTTACATGATGAGGAAGCAGTAAATGAATATTATTAATAAGTTATCCACAATATGGACTCTATATTTCATATTGTCAGTTATTTGACATACATGTAGCCCTTCTTTTACTTACCCATTAAAAAATAAAATAAATTTACTCTTTAGGAAGATAATCTAAAGCTTCCCTTTATCTAACATAGGTCACATAATCTCTTAAGAATACTCTGAAGCATCACTTTTCCCATAATGTTTCCACGGGATTTCTCTTCCCCACACCAGGTTATCTGTCTTCCTCTGTGCTTTTAACTCACCTTTAGCAACCGTTTTTATTTCACTTGTCTCACTGATGGCAACTCATATTATTTGTCTTATTGTTGCTACACCATGTCCTATTTATCTTTATATATTTAGTTATTAATTCACTGTTTGGAAATTCAATAGTTTTTGAATCATGAATGACTCTATCAAGTATATATTAGTTCATGTGTTCTAGAAGCCTATGCATTATTGGAATATCAGGAAAGGGAACAGGAACAAGATACAGCAATTTAAAGTTTTTAAAAATTTTCCATGTATCTAACAATGATTAAAGCATCATTGTAAATAATGCTAATTGCTCTAAGCTTAGATTGGCCATAAAATGACAAAGACATTTAAAATACAACTCTCTTCTATAAAACAATAATTGGCTACTTTTAGGTTAAAACAAAATCCAAGCATTAAAATAACTCATTGCTTAACTCTTCATGTGCACCTCTCTTTCTTTTTTACACACGACACGCACATACACATTGAAATGTCAGCCTTTATGTCCTTAGAATGATCAGGTAAGTTGTGATGACGCTAAAGAAAACATAATTATAAGCTATAATAGGTACATAGGATGCCTAATTGTATTTATTTTGAGTGCTTAAAATCTATCCTTTCTCTTCTTAAAGAGTAGTTTCTACAATTATTTTATTAAAAAAGAATAATAGTAATTATGCCATGGCAATATAATATTCATAGAATTTTCAAATAAAAACGGACAAACAGAAATATGCAATTTCTATTTTTCTGGAAAGAAAAGTATTTTCTAATTAGAAGTCATTAATTTAAATAAATATGTAAACCATAAATTTATAAATGTAACATAAACTAACTTCTATTTAGGAGAAAAAAAGCAAACATAGATACAGACATAGCACATACACAGCTGATTTTTAAACAGCAACAATAGCCATAAATATATATTTTTAAGTTCTGTTTATACATCTCTTGTATGACTCTAAATAATGTCCAGGTTAAATGAAAATGTTCCCAATTGAAGTGTACCATTATCCATTCTATCCTTTATCAGCTTCACATGTACAGTTCTAAGGTAAACATGCATCGTACACTTGGAAATCTTGGTTTCAAACCTTGACAGCACATTTCCAAAGGTATAACATCTTAATCAAATTTAAAAATAAAACATCCCAGTGCTGAGCTTGGTTGTAAACCTAAAATTATATAACATACATGTTTTTATGCTTTGTCAATTACATTTGAAATAGGGGACTGTTTGTTTCAGCCCTTCTAAAAATGAGACGAGGATGAGAAAACAACCTATTTCCTTATTAGGTTCAGGAGTCAAAGGACTCAGCCAGGAGCCGCAGGCTTCAAGAGCATAGAAGATTAAGACATATATTGGATTCATGATGGAGGGCAGAAAGTTCATTTTCAAAATAAAACAGAATTTTATTCATATTCCTTTTAAAATTCAGATTGCCATTTGCCAGCTGACCTGTGACACGGCAGCAGTGTATTACATTTTCAATGAGCAGTCTGTCTGGAGCTGCTAGTGGGAGAAACTGCTTCCTGGTTTCTAGGTTTGTATTTGTTTTTAAGTAAGATATTGTTGTCAGAATTTTAGAGGGTGCAAACAGGGGCAAGGTAACATATTTATTTTTAATAAGGAGGAGATGTAGAATAGTATAGTCATCAGCATTATGCATGAAATAATCCTGTAAAAAAATACAACTCAGGTAAAATGCATATATGGGACTGTCAAAGATGAGGATGCCGGCATCTCAATGAGAAATAAGGGCAGGCCAAAAAAATGAATCTTTATTTAAAAAATAAATACATGTGAATACTTTTTTAAACAAGTTTTGGTAGAGTGCAAGTCAAGCCAAGGTTTTCTATAATCAGGGACTAGATTTATCCAGCTCACCATCTGTCAAAATTATATCATAGACGACACATATGCATAGATACAAGACCACTGATTTTCATATATATTAAAACCTGAAACTTCTGCAGGATATGAAAACCTACAAACTGTTAAGCCAAAAGGCTTACATCTAGAACTTTTTTTTCTCACCATTGTTTTACTTCTATTCTCTTCCTGACCTGCATTCAGGAAAATGGACATATAGTCCATGAAAATATATAAAAATTAAAGTTCATTTAGCAAAAATCAAAATAGAGACTTTAGAGAATATAAAAATAAGAGAAGAGATGTACACTTCACTTATTTTGGGGCCTTATCTTATGAATGAATATATATAGTACATATCTCATGATGTAGGAAAGTGAGTTTTCTGTAAAGATCAGGACAATTTCTAATATAAAATAAACAGATGTTATACTTGTGAAAATAGAGAGCAAGCAATAATGATGACACATGTGACTAGTTGAGTTGACTTGAACCAAGACAATGCTGTTTATATTTCACCTCTGAGAATAGCTTTGTGATAAGAGTTAACTTGGGTACTATTTTGTCAGCTTCTCAAATGAGAAACAAAGGGAGACAAGCATGGTAGTTTTGTCCATTTGATTTGGCACCATATCTTTAAAGTGGAATCAAATAAAAAAAAGAGAAAACCCTTAACCTCATATTTACTTTGAATAAATAGTATTTTTATCATATATTATAAGAATAACAAATTTATCAGTTAGAAAATATTGACTTTAATCTATTTGCTGCATTTAAATAAATGATTAGTTTATAAGGACAGTTCCTAAAGCTTTCTTCTGTCACTATAGATGAAATTATGAAATTGTATTCTGCCGACACTTTAAAAAAATTGTGATTGAATTATATAATCTTATCAGTAATAACACAAAATTTTCATATTATAAAATTATTTTAACACTTACTTTTTATTAAATAAAGGTTTAGGTAAGACCCTGATAATTTATTGTTTTAAATGACTGCAAAAGTAAATTGAATGACAATTGATTTCACTTTAAGAACAGCTGTTTTGAATACCAAATATTTCTATGATAATTTATAATTTATGATAGCAAAGGAAGAGAAAACTGAATACCTTCTTAAACTCTTCCCAGATATGTTTGCATGTTTATCACTGCAGTTTAGTTTATATAACATCTCTGAATGATGCATAAAGTATCAAAGGCCATGCAACTTCTTAATGGATAATCTGCAATTTAAATTTCATTTTTGTATTTTTTCACTTTTAAATTAGATAAACATATTTTCTTTTCATGAAATTCTAAAATATAACTGATTTTAAACTTTTAAATTTTGGTATGGTTTTGTAGCCAATGGAGAACAGAAGACATTATTTTATCATAAGCTTTGTTACATTTTAATTCCTCAAATATAGTTTCTATATTATTTGAGACAAAAGAAAAATATGTTGACTCCCCATAAAGAGAAAGACAAAAAAGAAAGAAAGAAGGGAGTGAGGGAAGAAGAGATGTAGAGAGAGAGAGAACAAGGGAGGAAAAGAGAAAAAAAAGAAAAAAATAGAATCCTTAAACAAATAAATTTTAAATGCAATAGAAGTACTTTAGAATAATTTGATCTGCATGTGCCATATGTCAAATCATACACTCCCCTTCTCCCAAACACACATCCTAAACATTACCCAAAGCCTGCAAATCCTGATATTCTGGCTTTGTCTGTGCCAAAATACTAGTCCAGTCTACCTAAACCTAGGGCCATAGAAGAGGTTTTATTACATAGCATGAAAATGTCAAAATTGATGAAATTAGTGTTTTTTGAGTTATAATGTGTTTGGCATATGTCACTGGAAATGTTTTCCAGTAGCTCACACAAGCACCAAACACAATTTTGAGTTTTTTTCTATTAATTTTGCAATAAATTAACTAATTTAATTTTTTTAAAAAGTTCCAAGCCAGAGACTTAACCAATTGAACCTCAAACAAACAACAACAAAAAAGGCACCAAATTTAGCAATACAATAAATTGAGATTGCTTCTTCACAGAGCTAATTCTCCCATAATCCACTGTTCATCTCATCACTCCTTATAAAATACAGAATCCTTAATTGGTCTGTGCTTCTCTAACATGTTTTTAATGAAAACGCAGCACATAACTCTTAGTTTGTTGGCTGCCAGAGC